TATTTTCAGTGTATGTATTATGTAATATGTACTTGAACTGTGATTCAGGAGGCTAAGGCAAGAGGATCACAAGTTTTCCTCAGCAACTTTGTGAGAACCTGCCTCAAAATAAAAAATAATAAAAAAGTGACAAGGGATGTAACTTAGTGATAAGGCACCCTTGGGCTCAATCCCTAGCACAAAAAAATAAAAATAAAAAACCAAGTACTTTACTTGCAATTCTATTATTTACTGGGACACAGGTGTTCCTATAATGAAAACTGTTGTGTTCTCTTGTATTCATGAGGTATAGACAAAATTTACATTTAAATAACTTTTACACAACAATTTTTAAATTTGGAGCTTATTAAAAAGTTAATCAGCCAGGTACAGTATCAAATGACTATAAACCAAGAAACTCAGGAGGTTGAGGCAAGAGGATTGTAAGTTTGAGGTCTGCCTGGACAATTTAGAAGATTCTGTCTCAAAAAATAAAAAGGGCTGGGGAAGTGGCTCAGTGGTTAAGTGCCCTTCAGTTCAATCTTCAGTAGTAAATAAATATATAAATAATAAAAAATAAATAGGGCTGGGGTTGTAGCTTGGTGGTAAAGCACTCCTGGGTACAATCCCTGGTACCATCAAAAGTTTTTTTCTTTTAATTATGTATGTATATGTGTATGGGTACACTCAAAACACACACACACACACACACACACAATCCCTAGCACAAAAAAATAAAAATAAAAAACCAAGTACTTTACACACACACACACACACACACAAACACACAAACACAAACATATATACATATATTTGGATACCAGGGATTAAATCCAGGGGTACTCAACCAGGAACTACACCCCCAGCCTTATTTATTTATTTTTTATCTTGAGACAGGATCTCACTAAACTGCTTAGGGCCTCACTAAATTTCTGACGCTGGCTTTGAACTTTCAATCTTCCTGTCTCAGCCTGCCAAGCTGCTGGGATTACAGGCATGTGCCACTACTCCCAGCTCTTTTAACTATACTTAAGGGGAGAGAGGAGCACTGTTCATAATAACCCTATGTTGGCCAAGCTGTGTGCCTGGGCACAGTGCTAGGCCCACACAAGGGGCAGCTTTTTCCCATTCATGCAATGGGTTAATAGTGGCCATGAATTTCCAATTCCAAAATCAGTGCATATGTACCTTAAAACGACATATATCATCATTTACTTATTTTTTCTCTATTAATGAAAATATTAATTTTAACACTCATTTTATCTTCATGATAAAAACAGCTTAAACTATAAATTATAACTTTGAAAAATATGTATTTGTTTTAAATATTACTCCAATCACATCATCTTTCATTTTCATAATTTCTTTAAAGGTTTTCTATTTTTATATTGTGGTTTATTCTTTGGCCTCTTTGTTATTTGTAAGAATACTTAAAAGGTTAGAGATTTGCTTTTTATTTATTTATTGCTTTCAAGTATCATACTCTAGCTTGAGAATTTGGTCTTTAAAATGTGTACTTTCTTTGCATTAGTTTCTTTATTTTGTGATTTAGTATAAATTTAGTATAAGTTATTTTCTTCTTTTCAATGCCTCTTAGGCTATCTAAAGCAAGGTACTGTTTAATTTTCTTTTGAAAATAAGTGGAGGCTGGGGATATAGCTTGGTGGTAGAGCACTTGTTTGGCATATGCAAAGACCTGAGATTCATCCCCAGTTATCTCTCTCACACATACACATACAAAGAATAAGAAGGTGTGAAGCTTTTTTGGTACGGTTTAGATAGGAGGTGTCCCCCAAAAGCTTATGTGTGGAATAATGCAAGAAGGTTCAGAGGTGAAATGATTAGATGATGAGAGTTGTAACTCAATTATTAATTAATTAATTGAGTTACTCCTCATAGGAATTAATTGGGTGATAAATGAAGGCAATAGGGTGTGGCTGGTGGAGATAGGTCTCTGGGGGTGTGCCCTTGGGTTTAAATTTTGCTCCTGGTGATCAGAGATATCTCTCTCTTCTTCCTGATTGCCCTGTCCCAAGCTACATTCCTCTGCCATGCATTCCTGACATGATATTCTGCCTCACCTTGGGTCCAGAGAATGGAGTTGGTCATTTATAAACTGAGAC